ACTGGTTCTAGTCCTTCGATTTATGGTCCAACTGACCATAATTTAGTCACTGAATCAAATGCAACATACAGTGGTAGTAGAAGGCATTTTAAACGTGGGCATTTTAATGGTCATAAAAACAAGTCACACCGAGAATATAAACAGGTCAATAGACCAAATTATAAAGGCAAGGGCAAACAAAAGGCACATCAAATAAATCACCCTCCAAAAACCTTGGTAAAGACGACTTGTTATAAATGTGGCATGATGGGGCATTGGGCTAACAAATGCCGCACTGCAAAGCATCTGGTGGAATTATTTCAAGCTTCCATGAATTTGAACAACGGCAAAAATATGGAAGCTAATTATGTCAACGACACGACTCCACCTCTGCCAAAATTTGATGTGTCCGACTTTTTCGCGGATGATGCCATTATGGACGATGCTTTTGCAATAAACCAAAATGTCACAAAATAAAATATTAGACTCCGATCCTTATGTTGTAACATATTAGTTTTATGTATTTTTTCTTTCTTCTGTTTTTCTTTTGTTTTTAAATAAATGTGTGTAATATATGTACTTTATGTTAAATTATATGCAAAATTTGTGATCAAGCTTATGTTTATTTACACATTTTGAAGATATGGATCACTCAAATGATAAAGAGCTATGTCTGATAGACAGCGCCACAACGCACACCATTTTGAGAAATAAAATATATTTCTCTCAAATGACTTTAGTTGAGGCTAAAGTCAATACCATATCAGGTGTTGCGAAGCTCATTGAAGGCTCTGGGAAAGCATATGTGATGCTCCCTAACGGGACCAAAATAATTATAAATGACGCTTTATACTCCAGCAAATCGCGGAGGAATTTATTAAGCTTTAAAAATATGCGTCAAAATGGTTATCACATAGAAACCATGAATGAAAACCAAAAGGAATATATTTGTCTTACAACAACTAAATCTGGCACTAAATATATTTGTGAAAAAATGCCAGCATATTCCTCAGGACTATATTTCACATATATTAGTCCATTTGAAATAAATTCGGTTTCTAACACAAAGTTAGATGATCAGAAAACATTCATGTTGTGGCATGACCGTTTAGGTCACCCAGGCCATGTAATGATACATAAAATCATTAAGACTTCGCTTGGACACTCATTAAAGAATATAAGGGTTCCAATATCAAGGGATTTTCTTTGTAAGGCCTGTTCTCTTGGCAAAATGATCATCAGGCCCTCTATGAATAAAATTGCAACTGAATTACCTGCATTTTTAGAAAGGATTCAAGGAGATATTTGTGGGCCTATAGCCCCACCATGTGGATCATTTCGATATTTTATGGTGTTGATTGATGCTTCAACACGTTGGTCACATGTCAGTCTTTATCAACTAGAAATCTAGCATTTGCTAAACTCCTTGCTCAAATCATACGATTAAGAGCTCATTTTCCAGATCATTCTATAAAGAGAATCCGACTTGACAATGCAGGAGAATTTACATCTCAATCATTAAACGACTATTGTATGTCGATTGGGATTGATGTGGAACACTCTGTTGCTCATGTCCATACACAAAATGGTCTTGCTGAATCTTTGATTAAACGATTACAATTAATCGCCAGACCATTATTAATGAAGTGTAATTTACCTTCATCAGCTTGGGGATATGCTATTTTACATGCAGCAAATTTAGTTCGGCTTAGACCGACTGCATATCATGAATATTCCCCAATGCAATTAGTTACTGGACAAGAGCCAAACTTAGCACACATAAAAATATTTGGTTGTGTTGTTTATGTTCCAATTGCTCCACCTCATCGTACAAAAATGGGTCCTCAAAGAAGGTTGGGAATTTATATTGGATTTGAATCTCCCTCAATAATCAAATATCTTGAACCGATGACTGGTGACTTATTCACCGCACGATTCGCTGACTGTCATTTCAATGAGACAGTATTCCCAACCTTAGGGGGAGAAACTAATAAATTGGACCCAAGTACGAAAGAAATAACATGGAATGCAACAGGATTATCACATCTTGACTCAAAATCAAATATATGTGAGCAAGAGGTGCAAAAGATAATCCATTTACAAAATGTTGCAAATCAGTTGCCTGATGCATTCACAGACACAAAGAAAGTGACAAAGTCACATATTCCTGCCATGAATGCCCCTGCCAGAATCGAAATCTCAACAGAGAATTCTGAAAAATCTTTTGCAAACAATTCTTCTATACGCAAAAAGCGTGGCAGGCCACTTGGATCGAAAGATATAAAACCAAGAAAAACTAAAAGGCAGGAATCGATCTGTGATACCAAAGATGTTCATCCTTCTGAACAAGAAAATGAACAATTTGAAAATATTGGCATAGAAAATGATATTGACAAAACAAATATCTCAAATGATGATCCAACTTCCTTAAATGAGGAAGATATTCCAGATAATGATAGAAACGTTGATAATTATGAAATTTCAATAAACTACGTTTCTACTGGAATGCAATGGAATCGTAAAGATATTGATATTAATGAGATATTTGTCTATGCCGTTGCCACAAAAGTTATGAATGAAAACAATGACAATGAGTCAACATCTATATAACACAAGTGCTAGGTTCTTAGAGTTGACTAGGTTTAATGTTTTACTTCCTGATATTTTTTTTCATTTTAACTTACTTCTTTTAGGTTTGCAGAATTCTACATATGTAAGATACAACACCCAGCACATTCTTTGCAGTTGATAGATAACAACAGAGCATCTGAGTCCTAACGTAGTAATAGAACAATGGCTTCATTCTGTGCAGCAGAAGATATGATGTCTATGTATAAGAAGAAATGTGAATGCCCTTTGAAGAATGGGCTAAAAGTTGGATTTGTCAGCGTTTTGTTCTTGTTTTTACTTATTGTTTCGTGATATGTCCCTATAAATTATGTAGAATGTACAATCACATTTACGTGTGAATTTGAGATATAAATAAAAATATTTGAAAGTTTGGTTATTTATTAGTATTAAATTATGATTGTAATCAATGTATCTTGTGTATGATTTCATAGTATTAGCGTGTCATTAAGTTTTGTAATATAGTAGTGTCGCCAAGATATCACTATTTAGTGATACTTAAGTGTCACTACAGTATATGATGTAAAAGTGTCGCCGAATAGCTATGTCGCCAATGTGTCACTATATTGTGATATCGTAGTGTCACAATTTTGTGACACTTGTAGTGACACTTAAAAAGTGTCACTCGTAGTGTCACTAGCCCCCACTTTCAGCGACAGTTTTTTAGTGTCACAGAAACTTTCAGTGACACTAATTTGGTGTCACTCTAAGGCATTTTTCTAGTAGTGTTCCCATTTTCTCCTTGGAGGGGGTGGAGGTGTCCCTAAATGCAACAGGTTTCTGAACTCTTTTATCAAAAGAATAGAAACCACTTGCTTAGACATTAAGAAAAAATTGCCTCCTTACCTTCAGAAGTATTGTTGCCTTCTCACTACTTGGACTAAAAAGCTATTCTTATGATGTCACTATCACATTTTCTTTTCATGTCATTTATAGATGTCATTTTCGTCATGAAAAAGGTCCACCTGATTGTCGTAAAAAAATACGTCGACTTTTGAATAAGCAAGAAAATCTTCAAATTTTATGGTGACTTTTCGGAAGGCAATTTTTGTGGCTGTTTCTGATAGTGGTTGGGCATATGTAGGGGGCTGAAGCAGGGATTTGATGCGGATTACAATGAGAAAATTATTAGATTAATAAAAGAAAAGGGTTAGTCATATTCTTTTCTTTTTTTTGGGCGGGGAGGGGGGACTAGTCACTTTTTTTGTATTTCACAACTAATTTTGTTTCTTTATTTTCCGCAATATTTTTATTTTTCCTTCATTTCCTTCTTCCCTAATTTTTTCTATCAGGAGAGTTTTCACTCATTGTAGCTGCTCGAATTGAACCCTCAAGAAAACTAAATAAAAGACTTCATATGTAGATGGATACATTAACACGAGGATTTGAGTGTGACTATAAACGGCGATTTTTATCGTTGGTAGCGACATGGGTAGTAAGTTGTGGGCAGCAGATGGTCGGGTGGGTGTACAACACCGCAATATGGCATTAAATAAAGTAATTCAAGTATATTTTGAGAAATAGTTTTAAGGATTTTTTTCAAAAATATTACTAAAATAAATCTTATTTACACCAATATAACTAATAGTTACTACAATTTAATTACCTGATAACTTAAATTTAAAAATTGAACACAAGTTACTATGAATTCATTTCTACTCTAACCACTAGTCATATTCTTGTAAATAGTCTATATTTTAAGCATAAATATATAATTGTTTCTAATTTTAATAGGTATACAATATAATGGGGTAGTATTGATAATTGTGATGTTAGAAATGTATTGTTTTTAATATTGAATGATTAATTTGTAATTTAAGATTGTTAATTGTTTCTTAAAATTGAAATGAAAACCTTTATATGGGACTTCCAAAAAGGAAAGTGAGAACCTTCTACGGGACGGAGGGAGTATTAATTAAAATTAAAATAATACAAGTTATAGGTAGCATTAAATAGGTTGAATAGTTAATGTGATAGGCCATTTTTTGGAAAATCTAATTAAAACGTCATATTGTTTTAATTGAAAACACCAATATTAATATAGGCCCTTTTTATAGGGTAAAATCCCCTAATATACTAAAACTCATAAGTTTTCTTAAAATAAGATCTTATATGTTTTTTGAGCTTATATGACCAAAAACCTTTATAGGGTTATTGAGCAGTTTGTCATTATTGAGCGGTGCTGCCCTGTTGCACGGTTGTTTGTGGCGATTTGGTTGGTTGGTTCGTGGCTTCTCGCTTACATAATACTGAGTAACATTTAGTTAATTTCTAACATCTACATCATGTGATTAATTGTAGATTGGACTATGCATTAAATGTGTTCCAAATTCAATACATACCTTAAAGATATTATGAATATACGATAACAAAAATTCCCTATGCATATAATATGAACATTGTGATAATCATCATAATATAGAATTCATACATAACACTTTTATTAATTATGCACAAGTACAAGAAATAACAATAATGTACACCATTTGTCGCAATTTAAGTTAATCTTTCTCAAATTAATTTGCAAAATTTATGTCAAAAATGGCAAGAATAATACTAATCAGCTTTTGTTTGACATAAATGTGACTAAAACTGATTTGAACAAAAAACTCACTTTTCCAAGCTTCGGCACTTCTGTTCTCGCATCCCACATCAAATATCAAAAGCCCAAAAGCAGCCTAACCCTAAATTATTAGAGTCTGGTATTTCATCTCATCCCCAATCATGGAGCTCAGGCAATGCCGCGTCGCTGCCACCAATGTCCACCGCAGTGAGAGTCACTAACACCAACACACATCTTCTCCGAGGTCATCGCATCTGCCGTCTAGGCAACGGCGGCGGAACTCAGGTTGTTGTCTCTTTCAAACCGCCATCGTCACCCTCTCCCCCTAAATCTCAATCGCAACAAATATCTAAACCCAAATCTGTTGAATCATCATTTACGACCACATCTATCATTGTTGTCGTCGACCCCACTAATTGGAATTGATTTGGAATAACTCAATGTAGAGATTAATAATGGAAGAACGCTAATAGGTGGGATTATTGGTGTGAATTTTTCCTTTAATTTATATATTTAACTTGTATCAAATTTGAGTCTTTTTTCTACTTTTTCAAATTTTTGTGTAGTTTATGGATATGTAAATTTTATTTACAAAAAATAAGAATAATAGGGATCTATTAATTTTATGGACAATCAACCACTGCAAATCAAACGGGAACCTTTACTCAAGACATGGGTGTATTACATTTTAATAATAGGGATCACTTAATATTACATTTTAATAATGAATAGTAGTTATTTCAGCCCTGCACCCCACCCGCCGCCACCACGACCACCTCTGTCGTCGCCTCTACTGACGATAGCGATCACCGTCTAGTCCGTCTACAGTTACTAAGATGTTTCAGATTCGGGAATTTCCAACAGCTCAGTATTCTTGAAACAAGAAACAATACCCTACCTCACTTGAAGCACGCATATTCGGGAATCTCCACGTGCACTGAAGCAATTTCTGAGTCAAGGAAAAACCGCAAGCATAAGAAAACTAAGATGTTTCAGATTTAACAGAAGTGTGGGGTAAGAGGAAGTTATTAATGAGATCTTTAGTTAAACCAAATTCATGATCGAACCAGAGCATACAGCCTTATATATCTAATACTCCATATTATTGAGCAGTAATTATCTTGGCTTAGACTTCTATTCTTTCCAGTCTTATCATCCTCGTTAGCTAAACTATATGCTTGGGATTTGCTAATTATAAGGACTCCTCCTTACTACTCCCTCCGTTCCAATTTACTTAGCCAAACTTGACTTTTCAAGTCAACGGCGTCTAACTTTGACCCATTATATGTTTATATAGAGAAAGTATTGATAATATGAAAATGATATGAAAATGTTCTTTGTTAAAAACACTATCATAAAAGTATAAAATTATTGAATTTTACATAAATATATTAGCTTAAATAATTGGTCAAAGTTAGAGACCGTTGACTTGAAAAGTCAAGTTTGGCAAAGTAAATTGGGACGGGGATAGTATAACATAGTAGACTCCTTTCCCATCTCTAATACTGTTAGTATATAAACTGTACACGTATGTAGTATATGTTATGTTTAAGAGGAATTGAAAAATCACAGATTCATATATTAATTAATCTTCCTGCAACAATTCAGTTAATATAATGCCAAACTCACAACAACGACTTCAGACATAGATCTTATCAGATGACCGAACGGACAAATAGATGGAGTACTAAACAAATTACTCGGACCACATAATGAAAAGGCTAAAATGAAAACAACAAAGTTTTCAAAGCGTGAAGTCGTGTACTTAACACATCATCATTGGGTGAGGAAAAATCAAGGTAGTGTCGTCAAGATTGTAGAGTTAATAAGAAATGCTGGACGAGATAGCAATTCATTAGAAATGAATAGAAATCTTATGTGCAAAGCAATTGATGCAACAACAGTCACATACCTTCGTCTGTCGGCCTTTCCCGGAATATACAAACCTCAATCTTATCCATAAATCTCCACACCTTAGTTTGGTAAAGTTTCGTGTCTGTATTTGATGACAAATCCCTTGCGCGAAATGTAATCCAAAAGCAATGACCAGCACAACACCAGAAATTAGCTTTCACGGGCTCAACAAACTCCACATTGGCTCCCTGAAATTATTTAGAAACAAAATTTTAGGACAACACTGATGAATCTCCTTGTTTTCATGCACATAGGACCAGCTGTATGCAACCAGCTGAATTCTTTCCTTTTTGAGTTAGGTTACTTGGGTATTATTGTATGTAGCATGATGTATGCAACTCTTTGAGATCGTTGCTCATATATAAATATATACATGTACAGACAGTTTTCTTTGTATCAATATATAAATATAGAGTCATTCTCCTGTCCAGCACTTTTATACCGGAAAATAGAGGTGGGTAAAAATAACGAAAAATCGGTATACCGCACTTACCGTACCAAAAAATACCGGAAAATACCGGAATATTGGTATACCGTCATTTTCGGTACGGTATCATACCGTACCGATTCATTTCGGTAAGGTAACGGTAAATGTTTTCGAATACCGCGGTATACCGGTATTATACCGTACCGACTCCCTACCCAACAATTACTTTAAATTCTAAAATATTGTAAAACTTCATTACAATTTTGAAGCCCAAAATTAATACTTAGGTTGGTTACAAATACTAAAATAAAGACTCAATTTCTCAAACCCACTATAACCTTCTAGGTTTCTACTACGTAACATTTAAACAAACCAACCCTAATGACTAATGAGTAATAATGTACTAATGTACAGAAACCAGTCCATCTTCACGATGGCTGAACCGCTGAGTAGCTGACGAGTGAAGAGGGATACACTTATGTGACGAGTGTATCTACATAAGGATTTCGCGAGTCGAGTCACACAACTTTGTCCAAAAGTCTTATTCAAATATATTTTTAAAAACTTTAAAAATGACTAAATACACAATATCATATTAGGAATAAATGATTTTATATCCACGTAGTTTGAATAATTTTATTTATTTATTTTAGAGCTCACTATTCATATAATTATATCTACATTGTTCAAGTTATTTTAGGAGAATGTGTTGTTTTTTAATGCGTGGGCCGCGTGGCATGTTGAACTTCTTAAATATACTAATAATAATTATTGTTCAATATTGAATATGACATCAATAGATTATTAATTGTATTTTGTAACATTCTAATAATGGATTAAATATGTCCCTAGTAACACCGATTTAGTATATTTTGTTAGTCTATGATAATTTGTTGTTTTAGCAGACATGCATGGTAATTTACCGATACCGTACCGTTACCGAACCGAAACTTCGGTATACCGAAATGCGGTATACCAAAACTTCGGTATACCGAAATGCGGTATACCGAAACTTCGGTAAGGTAACGGTATATAAATTTTGTATATCGAAAATTTTGATACGACAAAGGTATGAGAGAAAATAGTCGGTATACCGTACCGAACCACCCCTAGTATTTAATATTTTTTAATTAAACTTAACAAGTATTGAATTTTTAGAATTTTGATTTCTTATATTTCCTTTGTTACTACTTACTAATATAAATATATACTTCCGGGTAATTATTTTTAATTTTTTTTGTTATATATTTTTTAACATATTGGCCCGCGGGCCAACCCGTTTAACCCACGGGTTAGGTGGGTCGGGTTAGGGTTGTAGAAATTCTGGCCAGTCATTTAACGGGTTGGTCCGACCCAACCCACATAGACCATAACCCGTCACGGGTCGGGTCGGGTTGGGTCGGGTTGGCCCGTTTGACAGCTCTAGCTAGACCTGAGAATTTTCCTATAGATATATACATATACAGACAGTTTTCTTTGTATCAATAGAAGTTTTTGTTTTCCAGCATTCCACTTCGAGAATTTTCATGGTATCACGACAGGGTTGCGCTTGCAAACATCCAATACCCTAATCAACCTCCAAATATTCCAGAGATAGTGAAACCTGAAGATATCACAATTGATACTATGTGTCCCCATACTACCTATTGTCTACGTCCTTCAGACAACCTAAGCAAAATATTTGTTAGCGAGATACTCCGCAACAAGAACTATGGTAAATTGGTAATTAGGTGAATGAAATAAGATTGGGGAGGCCCAAGTTCACTCATTGTCAAAGGATGGGACATGTAGCTGAACAATATAATGAGATAATCAGTTATCCACCACACTGGAAGAAGGCACACGTGAATACCGATGGCAGTCCAATTCCAGGGCTCACGTTCGTGCATACTTTGAAGATGAATAGAAAATATACATTGACTTAGGGTTTAAATGAATAAAAGACTTGTTGGGGTTTAAATGAAATAAGACTTAGGGTTTAGTGTGGCCACAGTAAACATTAGGGCTTTGGGTTTCAATGAGTTAAAGACTTGTTGGGGTTTAAATGAAATAAGACTTTTAGGGTTTAGTGTGGCCACATGTTTAATACATGGACTTCTATTTCAAAAGTACTCTCCGGGTTTTTTAGTAAATGAAATACCCTTGGCCTTTTTTAGAGAACCAAAGAAAAACTGTCTCAACTTTTGAGGTGTGAGCCTCACCTTGAGGCACGCCTCGAACCCCTCTCGTAGCCGCCTTTTTACACCATGCGCTTTCAACAGAAATTCCACATCATTTGATAACATTTCGCAACCTCATAAAAACACAGATTAATACACAACAACAACAACAACAACAAAATGGGATGGTTGAAAGGAATCACAGACACATACTCGAGTTGGCTCTATCCTTGAGTGTTAATTACTTACAAGTCAAACAATCTTAAAAAAAAACTCTTTTGATTACAAGCTCATAAAAGAGAAGTATTAATTTCCCTGTGGATATGAAACTTACTACACTATACATGTTAGTGTTATTATTGATTTTATTTTGAGGCACACACGAATTTAGTGTCGTTGGCTGCCCGAAACTCTTGGCTCACACCAATTTCACTCACTTGTCGGGAAGATGGGCATTTGTGATCTTCATGGGCCATCTTAAGGGGTGATGAATTTCCTTTCGTTCACGTACATCGAACCAGCTGATTGCGTGAGAATATGGTACAATTATTGGAAATATTCTTTTGATTGCATACCATAAATGTTAGTGTATACCAACTGCTCTCTTTGAGCTCAGAGCTCAGAGCTCATTTATCAATAACCATATAAATATATACATGTAGGAACGCTTTGTGTGTATCAATAAAAGATTTCTGTTTTCAAGCATTCCCCTTTGAGAATTTTCAAAGACAGATGAAAAACATAAATGTTCAACGGAAAACAACTGATATTATGAATTATGAATTATAAATTATGAATAGAATAGAATATAAATCACTCACATTCTCTTCATTGTGCTTTTTAATGTCATGGAATGTCAGGCTGTGGACCAACTCCTCATTGGTCATGTCTTCATCGAGAGGTACCGGCCAAGTTACATCATGAAGAGTGAACAAGTAGTCAAATTTATCCTAGTCTATTTCAAAACCCTAAACACATCATTCAAAAAGAGAGTTTGATTAGTACTAGGTATTGAAGGTTTGGGTAGGTATTACTCTCTCTGTCCCACAAAACATGGCCAACTTGCACATCAAATAATAAATTAAAAACTATGTGATAGAAATTTGTGCACAATCGAAAGAAATAACTTTAGCAACTCATTTCTGACTTTAAATGTAAGTAGCAAATTGACAAAGTTCATCCTTCAATCTACTCTACCGGGCCCTAACCACACCGAGTTGGTCAGAAATTGGGCTACTACCGCTGTAATCAAATTTAAAAATTTGAAATATAATTGAGGAAAGCAACTGTGATAGCTATTTGGTGATGTGGATGATGTGAAAAGGTGTCATTGTGACAGGCGATCAGGCCTTCTTGCTCTTTTCTTCCATTCTTCTTTCTCAGTTCATCATATTGGATATTTAGATATTACTGGTGTGTTGAATAATTCATGGCATAATAAAGAAACTCTGTGGCAGAAAAACATTTACAAAATGCGATATCAACATTTTCTAGGGCCAATTAACCTTTTTTATGACATTTTAATTGTTCTTGTTTTACACACATAATACTAATTTTATTAGACAGAGATTTGAAGCACGTGATATGTATTTAGTATTGGATTAACGAGCCCTAACCGCTCACTGGCCTTAAATCTAGTAGCTACCGACCCATCAACCATTTAACAACTTAGCATTTAATCACCATAATTCTGGATGAACAAGGACCCGTTTACCATCGATTTCCAATGACACTTAAACACATCGATGTGTTAGGGTTTACCTCGCTCCGAACGAATTGGTCTTCGAAGAGCAGGTACTGTCGTTGATATTCCTTATCTTTGAAGCAGGTTTTGCGGTATATTTTTCCTGCGACGCATAATACATCTGATTCTTTGTTGGAGACACAGTCAGATCCTCCGTCTGTTGCTGTCTTCGGTTTCTTCTGGGGCGGTGGATCGACGGGAGTGGAAACTCTGGACTCCAACGAACCAGCCATTCTAGAAGATTTTATTTTAGGATTGCGAATTTGCGATGTTTGAAATTGTCGATCCTATTTATAGCAGCACAGGCCCGATTATAGGTGGATTCGGTTCGGGCCACCCGGCCCGTGACCCGGCCTGGCCCGGTACTGTGCGGGCCCGGGACCGGCCCGGTCGGGCGGTCCGGTGCCGGGTGTGGACCCGAACCGGTGGGAATGGGCGGGGCGGGCACGGTTCCGGATAAATGTGACCCGGCCGGGTCGGGCCTCGGCCCGGGTCCGGTCTGATTTTTTTAAAAAAAAAAAAATTAAATTGGGCTACTAGCCGTTGGGGGGTGCAGGGGGGGGCCGGGGGGGTTGGGTGGGGGGGGAGTGGTGGGGGTGGGGGGTAAAAAAACCTATAAATACTCCTAATCTTAAACATTTTTTCATCTCTTCTCCAATTCTTCCTAAATCCTATTCTTAACTCTCTACTCTCTAATTCTCTTATTCTCCAATATATTATATTTATTATTTATATATTTACTTTATAGTTTATACTTGAGAAGTTAAGATGGAAAATCAAGATGCCATTATACGGTATAATTTTGATAAGCAGAAGGACCCGAAGACCGGGATGTGGTACGCAATTTGCAAATGGTGCGAGAAAAAATGTAGCATGAGGATTTCAGGCGGATACGGGATGACAATCAAGCATATGAAGTCATGTGACAAAGCCAAAGGATCGGGAGGTGCGGGAAGTTCCGATTGATTACAATTTTCAAAATGTTTGTCTCTTAAAGTTTGTTTTAATTTTCAAATGTAGTTCCTATTTCATTTCAAATAAATGCACTTGAAGTTTGTTTTTAATACTCGTATAAAACTATAAACTATAAAATATAAATTATAAAAAAAAATTAACCGGCCCGGCCCAAACCGGACCCGACCCGTGACCCGAGCGGGTGGCCCGACCCGAACCGGACCCGTCCAACCCTCGGGCCGGTCCCGGGCCCATGTCATACAAACCGGCGGCCCGACCGGGCCTAGGCCCGGCCCGAGCCCATCAATAGGCCCGATGATGTCACACCACAAAAAGTGCTTTGGCACCCAAATAACGAGGGTAGTTTGACTAGAAAAACTATTTACTTCACCCGTGCGTTGCACAAGAGTGAAATACCTACGTAATATTACCTCTTTCTGAAAAGGTTTGTCATATTGACTTTTCTTGATCAACGATGACAAACTTTGGACAATGATTTTTATTAAAGAATATTATATTTGCATATAACTTTTAAGATTTATACTTTTATGAAAATATTTTGAATAAGGAACATTTTGATATAATTTTCATATTCTGAATAATTTCATATTTAACAATATCATTAGTAGAAAAGTCAATTCGACGAACTTTTTCGGGATGGAGGAGGTACTTTACATGCAATCATACGAAAGTTAAAAATATGTTGATAATGATCTAATTAGCTGAAGAGATTAAATAAAATTTAAAATAAGATTATTATAATAGCAAACTTAAAAATAAGTAAGATAATAAGTAGTCTCGCATATTTAAAATTAAAAATAAAGAGCAAAAACAATATAGAATTTTAAACAAAAGAGCATAAATCCCAAGCATAAAAATCAAGGGATCGGAAGTCAAATAGTAATAGTCAACACCAGAAAATTATCAATGTCTAATTTGTCACATCAATGTTAACACCTCTTAAGATTTTAATGACAGAACTCTGATAGCTTCCGTTAATTTCATTGTTTTCTTGTGCAACATTCCTCTTGATAGAACATATTTAGGGGCGCCTAAGAGCCAAATTCTGCTGTTTAAAAAAATATTCAATCAATTCATGAAGATGCTCTTCTCTGTTAACACATGTTCTTTATTCACTTCTACTCACAAACTTGCTTCAGTAATCATCTCCAATCAAAATAAATTGATCTCGGTGACTTCAGTAGCGCCATCAAGTCTTCCCAGCATAAGAGCTGCCAAAAAACATGCCCTCAACTTCAGTTGCAGCATGAAAATGCAATAAATCAGGAGCAACAACCTAAACGTTAGACAGCCCAACTGAAGTTTAATTAAAAAGAGTGTAGGAAATCAGCCTAACCTTGCTTGCTAAACCGCCCAAAATAAACCTGAAATCAGCCCAGAATCTACCATGAAAACCTGCTCTCAAAAAGAAGGGCTTTGAATATTCTTGTGCACGCCATAGACCGCTCTCAAATTGCAGAATATTCTTATGGGGGCCATAGACTTTTTCTAACAAATGCTCCCAGTTGAATATTCCAAACAGATCAGTTGCAACCACGAAAGTGAAAGACAATCTTAAAATTTCAACATCACAGATGTCACAATCCACTCAAACTTCACCTAAATAAAGCTCCATAATTAAGAACCACAACAGTCACAGCATTATCCCTAATATATCGAGCCACTGACCAAAACTGGCTGATAACAACTCCTCCACCTTCCATGATTTTTCCAGCACTAAAATTTGCAAAATAAAAATGTGCAAAAGCATCTAACTTACGAAAGAAAGAGTAAATATTAATAAAAACAAATAACTTGAGCATTCTCTCTAATGGTGCTAACTGAGATGATCAATACATACCGTCTACCCTTCAGATGGGTATGCTTGTGAATTTTCTGGCAGAGCTTCTTCTTTTCAATTAGCTTCTCTCTTAAGGGTGTTTCTCACTCTGCCATACCTAATACCACAAACCACATCCCATTCAATACACACCCTGATGACCCCGGCCCCTTAAGCCCCGTCTGATCTTATTATGTGAGCATCTATGTATTATATATAACAACTTTCGATCTTTGTAGTGCTAGAAATATCTATGATGAACTGGAAAACTAATTCAATCTGACAAATCTCGTGAATCACAAATATTTATAAATAAAGGACTAACACATTAGCTTAGGAAAATGAAAAAGAAATATGCTACCTTCTTATTAAATTTGTAGTGAAGCAAAGACAATCATTCTATAAAAAATTTCTTCCAATTAGCCATAAAACTCTATAAAGGCCATAAAAATCTACTCCTTAACCTGATAAGAGAATATAATAGGAACCAAGAACAGTAAAACAGAAGACTGTTATCAGTCATAGGAGAATGAAAGAATCCACAGTGAAAAACTTTCAAGGGGAACCAAATATGATCAATGTTAACACTAATTTATAGGCTGAGTTTAAAATTTTGATCCAAAGCAAAAATGTTTCTCTCAAACAGAAAATGGAAATGATGTTTGCCGACGTAAACAATATGCAAATCACTGTTATTTCATTCGGTACGAAAATGAAATATCAATCAACCAAAACTAAAAGTGAAATCTTATACGGAGTACATAACAAAGCTCAAGTTACAGAACAAAAGTTAATAATGGATCTCTTTCACAACAAAGAAGCTAGTATTCTCATTAGCACGAAAAGTATGGATGTTCGGTTGACTTCATTCACCCATACGGCCATATGTAGAAATTTTTAAAAACTAATATAATTGCTAGGTGAACCAGAAACCGGAACTCCTAATTGCTCCCTATAAAATTGTTTCATTCTCATCTTAAAATATGACCATTTTCATAGGTCAAATGAAAATATATGACCATTTGTAACTATTTACAATAACAGTTAGCCCTACTTATTAAAATTTACATGACCGTTTTCATAGATGTATTTGATATACCTGCAAGTGGTTAATCATTGTTTCTATAGATGCACCCCAGTCAGCCCCTATTTCATAGGACCTTATAGTGAAGCTTTGAAGCTTTAAGAGGCACAAGTGAAAAGTATGACCAAAAGTATTAAAAAAGCACAAAATGGAATCAATTAGAATCATACATTACAAAAAATAAAATTGAATAAGAGAAGAAATATTACTAAGTGCAAGTATCATTCAAGTTGAATCTAATTATGGGAGCATTTGTCCAATAAATGTAGGAGAAATGTCAAATTATGACATTCAGGTCATACCTTTTAGACCCAAAGTGTAGCTTTCACCAAGAAAATGTATTAAAAGTTTCTACAGTTCTAGACATTTGAAAAAATAGGGGTGAAATTGAAGCAATTGATGGAACCACTAAAGTAACAATTGAAAAAAAATACATAGAAAATGACACCAAGAGTGAAAAACAGATTAGATCAGAGAACACAAACTTATAAACCAAAGCAGAATTGAAGAGAAACTTACGATAGTATTAAAACAAAAAAGGAATAAAAGTGAAATCCAAAGCAACACTCACCAGGAACGGGAAGGGTAATGAAGGTCTGGAATATGGATGCAGATTCGAGCCTGGAGGTGGAGGCTAATTTGAGGAAACATAGGACCGGCTAAGCTTGCTCGACAGCAGTACGGCTTTATCTTCCTCGCTAATCTGATTCTGCTAAGGTTGATCGAAAATTGATATGAGGATTTGAAAATGGAAGGATTCGCTGGTTTTAAGGGAAGATTGCACATGTGTGATAGAGAAGAAGATAAGTCGTACTACATAACATTCATACCGTTGGGAGACCAATTTGCGGTGGCACGATGAGTTAAGTACGCTGGATGTAAAATAAAAATGGAAGGATCCGCAGGTTTGTAAAGTAAAATTGAAGAAACGCACGATTGAGGAAGAGTTGATTGCGCTTAATTTGTGGCCGGAGAAGGAAACGTAAGATTGAGGAAGAAGGTCGGTAACCGTCCATAACGCAGTAAATAGGGAGAGAAGCGATTAAATGAGGGAGAGAAGCGGGAAAGGTTTGGGAGAGTAGGATTCTGCTTTTAGGTATATAGGATTATTAGGAAAACTTCACAAATATATGGCAAAAATAATATTAGTCCTCCTAATATTGTCTCATTCTATCTTTTGGAAAAACATCGTTATAATTATTTTGAATCAATTTTGATAAAATTTGGGTGGTTGCAAATGATTATTACTTTATTCTTACTTTATTAATTAATGCAGGTAGTGTCATTTTTTTCATCACTAAGTTTTCTTTTCAAAAATAATTAGACAAGACTAGTTTCACAAATAGACCGTATGAGCAAAGCAGGCGGCGCAGACGAT